TAAAAGAGCCATTTTAAATTTTTAAGACAAGAATGTAATTACAGCATTCGTAACGTTTTCTACAGTTGACATGAAAGAATTTTATTGATTTTTACAGTTGTATGTCGCATATCCGCTTGTAAATACCATGTACTGTTTTCATGGCTCTGTACCAACTATGTAGAATGTTTACAATATTATATTTAAGCATCCTGTTGCACTCCATATGATAAATGATATAAACTCCGTCTCAAGTGCAAACAATATATTTTGTGTCTTTGATCTTGCTCCCTACACTACATGTTTCGGCCTCAGACGTCCATCATCAGGTGTATAACACTCACGTCGCTGTCACACTGCACCCAGTTCAAAATTTAACATCTAAAACACTCTCCCTGTCATTATCAACTTCTATTTCGTTGATAGCTGTCCACCCGTAGATTACTTCACACACGTTAATTATGAGTTTATTGTAATAGCACCATAATAAAATCTTTAGTTCTAATTTTAAACCTTTAAATTCTTGTCCAAATTTTAAAATTTTAAAATTTTAAAATTGTTAGGGTTATTCGCCCTGTGTTTGAAGTGCTGCAGCGGCTAGTTCTTGTTTTCACACTGTATAGGTGTTATCTTGTGTAGTCTTTCTGTGTGCGTGCCGCTGCTATTCTTTACTACGTGTCTACGTGAAAACAAGAACTAGCCGCTGCAGCACTTCAAACACAGGGCGAATAACCCTAACAATTTTAAAATTTTAAAATTTGGACAAGAATTTAAAGGTTTAAAATTAGAACTAAAGATTTTATTATGGTGTTATTACAATAAACTCATAATTAACGTGTGTGATGTAATCTACGGGTGGACAGCTATCAACGAAGTAGAAGTTGATAATGACAGGGAGAGTGTTTTAGATGTTAAATTTTGAACTGGGTGCAGTGTGACAGCGACGTGAGTGTTATACACCTGATGATGGCCGTCTGAGGCCGAAACATGTAGTGTAGGGAGCAAGATCAAAGACACAAAATATATTGTTTGCACTTGAGACGGAGTTTATATCATTTATGTAGAATGTTGCGAAGCTCTCGTACAAGGTTGTCTGGGAGATTAGTTGGAGCTAGTTCTTTAGGTTCATCTCAGTTTCGGAGTTACCATGTGTTGCAATAAAATTGCTTCCTACTACTGTGACCATTTGACCGGGGCTCGGTGCCAAGAGATCGCTGAAGTAATGAGTGAAGAACAGACAGAACTGACGGCAGTAGCAGATTACAAGACGCCTATGGAAGAGGCTCTGTGCGCCATGAGACCATAACTCTTCCAACAGATCTCAGATTTCCTTTTTTGAAGCAAGACTTCCTGCTTGAGGATCAGATCAATCCTTTACGTGCACAACCAATACAAGTGTTGCAGCCAGGGAAAGGCTTCTCCATCTCCAGTTTATATGATGGTTGACAGAAGACCGTCGAAACCTCTCAATTTCTCTGCCGTGTGTTATGGACTGATGATGCTGCATTACGAGAAGTTGTGTACATAATCTATACAACTTCCATTGATGGGCAACGGAGAATCAACATGCTGCTCGCTGTACATCGTTCCAGCAAAGATTTATTGTCAAGGTTTGAACCGGATTTACAGATAATACGTAACTGGACCTATGTAATACAAGATCGTCTCATCTGTACGTTTTCTTAGACAGATTCTTCCGCTTCTATGGTAAGATGTGCCTCTGCAGGCGCGCGAGAGCAAGTGCTGTCAAGATGACGGTGCCTCTCCCAGATCCGCTCGCCTGCTCTCCACGTTCTTCCTGTCCGATTGCGCAGATTTCTATTGGTGAGCATGCCGGGAGTTCGGTACCGCGGCGCTCTAATTTAACATATTCAGGTGGCTGCCGCAGGCCTTAGGAGTCTACGGAGACATCTGCGCAGCGAGTGTTCAGGTGGAGAGAGGACACTTCGAACATCTGTTATGAGTATAATGTATATTCAGTGCAATGACAAGTCCCTACAGTGCAAACAGAATACGAGTATACACAACGAGAGGCACTATGAAGTGAAGAATATAAAAGGTTAAAAAGGTGTCAGTATTCTTTCTTTCTTTCTTTTATTTCAAATATAGAGGTCAATTAAGATATTATGTTAAAACGTAAAAATTGATAGTAACAAGAATACAACATGATCTCAACATACGAACGTCGTAAACCCTTTTCTTCTTTAAAGTTCAGCTTCAATTGATCCCCATAACAGTCTCCTTAAGTATTACACTAGAGCTTTGGAGTTCCCTGTATATTATGGTAATATTATTAATTATACATTTCCCATACCTGTATAGTAATGCTGCATTCCTACTGATACACTACAGGGTTGTATCGTAGCACTTAAAGATGTCAGACGTAAGAGATTTCTTGTGTTTGTTTGGCGAAGTCCGTTTGGTAAAATTCAGAAAGTATTTTATTTATAATCGAACTAGTAACAATATAATAATTATATTGAGATTAATATTCTCGTTAAATATTTAAGCATTATCCTACAACTCTTCAATATATTAAAAATAATTTTGACATAATTATGCATTTTACTTTCTTAATAATTTTGGTCAATGCCCTGAGTATCTAAACCTAGGTTAAAAGTAAAAGAATACTAATATAATTATTTACGATGTATTTTAAAGTTACAAACTGATCGAATTCTTCGGACGATGTTTGACTATCATCCATGAGAAAGAGGGGGGGGGGAGAAAGAGGTCGGCAATCAAATATACGGAAGGATCAACTCCCATAAACCGAAGATCGGGACCTTTGAAGTCGATTACGATGACAATAGAGTGTAACGGTCTGAATGTCCGTTATAAAGATAACTGGTTTCAGACTAGTCGGATTGGTTACTTAAGAGTATGGAATATTAAATTAAATTTAAACTATTAAACGAGATGGCTACGTAATAAGGTATATAAATCATGAAGTTTGGCAAATTTGCGGAAACTTCTTTCATCTCTGTGATCAATATTCTTTTTAATTCGTGCCATTTCATGAAATCTGTACCCTACACCGCCTTTACAATATATCTCTTACAAATTGAGATCTCAGAAATCGTGGTTACAGAGCAAGGAGGGCACTTACGCGAGAGAAGCTGACGAGTGCACAGTTGCTTAGTTACAGCCGCATTCCTTGTGCATGATAGAGATGTCGTATTACAGCATCTTATTACACGTATTTCATCGAACTGCGCGACTATATACAGAGGGGGGCGCAGAAACTTCCTTCTTTGAAGGCAAATAAAAGAAAAATTATTACTGATAGACAAAATTTATGTTTAGCTAATTAAAGAACATACTTTAAAGTTTTAAATCATGTAGTTTTAAGCAAAATATCTTGAAGGTGGTGGCCACCGTTCTCTATGCACTAATGCAACCGTTTTCTGAAGTTCCCCTCTGCACGTTCCAACATGTGCACCGGAATTTGGGCTGCTTCCTGCCGAATAACATTCTTCACCTGAAGCACGTTTGTGGGGCGATGTTTAAAAACCTCTGCCTTGAGGTATCCCCATAAAAAAATTACAGGGCGTTAGATCAGGTGAATGCGCTGCCCACGGGATGTCACCTTGAAGCGAGATGAGCGGTCCGGGGAACTTTGCCCTCAAAACTGTCATCGAAGCTCAGGCTGTGTGGGCCGTGGCACCATCCTGTTGGAACCAGACATTTCCTAGATGCGTTTCTTCAAGAGCTGGTTCGAAAACGTTTTCAGTCATGTCCACATACCGCTGTGAATTGACAATAACTGCACGATTGTCTTCTTCAAAAAAATAAGGGCCAATAATTCCAACTCTCGACAACGCACACCATACTGTCACCTTATCACTGTGAAGTGGCCTCTCATGGAGCTCTGTGGGATTGCTACCATTCCAATAGCGCATATTCTGCTTGTTGACATAGGTGAAAATGTGCCTCATCACTAAAGAAAACAAGAGCGTCAAGGGGTAAAGTTTCCAATAACGTTTCGCACGCCGTTATTCGGTTCTGGAAATCACGTGGTGACAATTCTTGTACAACAACCATCTTATAGAGATGGAAATGAAGATGTTCGTGAAGAATTCGGCGTCTTCACAAAAAGGAAGTTTCTGCGCTCTATTCTGTATAATATAGGTTTAAAATTCATTCCAGCATGCTTCGGTCTGAAAGGGTATTCACCCAGGTATAGCAGGTGTGTGTCTCACATATCAGTACTGAGTTACTAAGTAGTATATCTGGTTATTTTCAATTACGGAGTTGTACTATATTCTTAATACAAATTTGGTGCCTATTTACGTAATTTCAGATACAAATTGGCGTAACTATAAAAATAATTAAACATTTAGGAAGAATTAAATTTGAGGTTTAAACTCTTCTTACACATAGTAGCATGGTATCGTAATTAATTAAATAATGTTGTCAGATATTTATTTTAAATGTGTATTTCCGTCACCTTACTTTATGATTGTGGATTTATAATGGTTTGCTTTCAAATAAAATATTCCTAGTGCAACAACTAAAATTTACTTATCCATTTGGATAACGTATGAACAATATGACACGTTGCGACTCATGCGTATGATCTGATCCACGAACTTCACAGGTTAACACAAGCTACTGTAATGTAACTGTAAACACACTTAAGTTCTGTAGACGGAAATAAACTGAACATTTGTCAGAGTGTCTAAAACATCATTGAGGGTGGGTCATCATTAGATAGTGGTGTAGATTATTAAATAAAGTGCTTTCTCTGCTACCTGCGTCACTATAAATTCTTGGTTGGCTTATTCTTCGACTCTGAAAATGAAGGCGACATTTTCCTCCAAGAGTCGGTTGAATTTCAACGGACTACATGGAGTTTTATGTCCGAAGTTAGAACTCATCAGAGTAAGTTTCAGCGTATGATGGGAAGCAAAGTAGCCAGCTGAACACACAGTACCTCTATTGCCTAACACCGGTATAATGTACCCTCAAAAATGTTTTAGACTCACGTTATGAGTGATGTTATTGTAGGATTTAGTTACCATTTCCTGTATAGTTTGTTCGAGGATAGAGATGATCTTCTGTGCCAGGAAGATAATACGAATTTCGATGGAACGAACTGTGGGTCAGGGTGACAACCACAGCCAGCACACTACAGGCAACAAGGAAGAGGAATGTGATGACCACCATCAATACCACTATGCGTCTCCTGCGTTCCTTAGGATGTAGCTCTTTGTGGGGCATCTTGATGCTGGACTTACGATGAAAGTGACAGGATTCTCTTCTTAATGAGGAACGTTTTGAGCTGCCAGAAATGCTAGGTGTCTCTTGATGTCTTATTTTCGCACTGCCACTTCCGGCGCTACGTATACTTAAGAATCTTTCAATAGTCCTACTATCCGATCTTTCTATACTTCCACCATAACTGCCCCTCCGTCGTGGTAATTTCCTGCTACCATTGACGCTTCTGTTTCGTTGCAGCCTCTGAGCATCTGTTGAGGGACACACATCTGAAGCGTGCCTCGTGAGTTTTACGGGTTTCCTCTCACTAACTCGGAAAGATCTCTCTCTTGTCAATTGGACTCTTGGATGATGGGACCTCTTTATGGATTGCTGATAACGCAAATCCAATGCTGAACTATCTGCTTGATCATTTGTCGAAGGAAGAACTTCATCCATGTAGAAGGAAACTCTGTTAGCCAGAAAATCTTTGGGGAAATCAGAATGTTTTTGACGTTTAGACCCTCTTACTGATTTTGGACTTGAATCGTTCGCCTGTACACATGGATCACCATCCATATTGTTGCATTTATAACTATCTCTTGCAAATCTATTAGCAAACATATTTGATGATGTTGTTAATTTTGAAAAATATGCAACAAACAAAGATAAGTATATTTTCTTGATGGCCCCTTGACCTGCGGCTCTTTTGAATTCTATTAGGATTCTTATAAAACTGTAAACTATAAATAGCTAGGAGCCAGATATTGTACACTAGGCAAAGGTTCTATCAGCATGTTAACAGTTGAATCTTTCCTTCATTGATGCAGACCTTTAAATTACACAATTACAGATTTAGCAAAAATACAATTTTATATTTGTTCAGGCCGTTCTAATTTTGTCCACATATCATATTTAACTACCATTATAATAGAGACATTTCTTCCGTAGTAATAGAATGATGTGACCCAATGTTATGAATGATACTATCAGCAAGTTATATAAGTATTACGAACCAGTTAGCAAATTCCATTTCGATACTAAAAATGGAGACTTTTGTTCTGCAATCTTGAAATATTCGCAAACATACTTAGCGTTATGGGTGACACGATTTCTTGGATTCTGTGTATAAAATGTCTTGGATTTAACAGCGAACTTGTTGTGTTGGCTTCTTATGATTAACATGAAGTTCGTAAACTGTTCCACTACATCACATAGTTCACAAGCTCCATTCATTACATAAAGCTGTTATTTGTTGTTTGGTGAAAACATACAGACAATAATTCAGTTTGTTCACTGAAAAAGCGATTTTTAAACACAGTCATCAATCACTCTACATCACTTCAAACTTAGCCTTTACCTTTTAGTTCAATTCTGTAGAGTTACTGAAATTTATGGACGGTAGTTAACGGAAACGTATACACTCTCTCTAGACTTCTTACTTGTGCATAGTACTGGATTTGTTTGTTTCGCTGTCAGTGATCTGACTGCTTTTCGGCGCTGGCGTCCGTTTGTCCACTGTGGAAGTCGGCTATCTTAGAAGGTGGTGGGCACGAATCCAGTGCTTTTGTTTGCCTACTTACACTCGCACAACTCATGTATAAATAAATCTAAACACTTAATGACGTCACTTATGCTTTCTTGAGCGATGTAACTCGCAGTGGAAAGTTTTGACAAGCAGTACAGATGACTTAATGTGCACCTCATTCTTGCATTCCTGCAAAATCTTCGCGATAATAGGATTAAAACTCTTTCGGTTTAGGCCTATTTATACAGAAGGATCTAACTTCTTAAACTGGGGTCAAATTTGTGTCTCTATAGCCTCCTCACTCGCCTGTCATAAGTCATATGCTATAGCACAACAGGAAAACCCACTGGTATTGTCGGAATTTTCTGAGCGAATATGACTCAATAGTCACATAGGCGCTGAAGCAAATGTGCCGAAAGAATCCGAGCCCTCCGCTTTTCAGATAACACAAACTCTTGTTTCACTGAAGTTACATCGGTAGATTCATAAAAATAATTTTCTTAGAATCTTGTTGCATAACATTCTTTACTGCAGAAGAATCCAAACTGAAACTGCCACGATGCCAACATTCGCCTCGGCCGGCCGCCACTCCTTACTGGTCTGCTCCAGCCAAGCAGCATCTAGACTATGAGTCGCGACGTGTGTTAAAGACGGGGCACGTTACATATCTCCCTATCCTCGTCTCTTCCTCCTCCACCTCCTCTTCATTCTCTTCACTCTCTCACACCGCCTTCTATTCAGAGAAGTCTGCCAAACTGGCCGCGTGTGCAATGTCTGCGGGCGACAGATTAAGGGTTTTCACCACCTCCTCATTCGTTTTCCCGCTTTATAAATTGATTTCTTTTCCAGTTTTTCTCCTGTTTGTAAATTCACCTATCATTCACCACCGTTTCATAGTACACCGCGGAGATGTTTGCAGCTGCCGCCGCATGTTCAGCGGGAAGGGGGGGGGTGTGCCAAGGGAGGGCGGGGTCCCCTCACTTAGCATTCTGGCATCGTCACAAGCGCAGGGTCGTGTGTGTCAGTGTTTGCCGGGTTCATGTTCCAAAACATTCACTGTATTACGATCTGCTGCGCGATAAACACCTCTAATGTGGAAACCTTGTGTGACGTCATGTCATTTTGCAGAGCCGAATTTTTTTCCTCCGCTTTTTCATATTACTGTGCTACATAAACATGAAGATAGGCTCATAAGCACCAGTTTATAATGTAAAAGCAAAAAATGAAAGCTCTCTCTGCAACAGGCCGTGAAGGCCCATAGGGTTGTGAGACGTTGAGGGTCCCACATTATCTAAACAATCGACTCATAGATGGCGGTAAGGTTGTCAGCCTTACGCGCCGGCCGCGCTTTACTCCCAAGGAAAATTAATTAATTCCTGGTACTCATTTCTGTTAGGGGCTGAGTCGACCCATGGACCATAGTGCGGCTGGAAGGATTAGGTCAATTGAAAAATATCCAATGACTTCATCGGGCTTGAACCCGCGACCTTCCGGCTTGTAGCATAGCCCCTTAACCACGGGAAACAGCGGCTGAGGTGTGCATCAATCACATCGTGTGGGCATGCAGCAGTTTCGATAGAAGCAAAGGAGGGGGGCGGAAGAAAGGAAACGTAGAACGTAGAATGGCGCAAAACGTGACATGGTGAAATTTTATCCAGCGAAAGCAAATTGTTCTATAAATGCATTTGCACGCTAAGAATAAATATGAGTCGACAAAACTTGCAATACATATGGCAGTCGGATAGCCGTTGTTTTATGCTCTGCAGGCTGCTGCTACAGACAATGGGCCACAGCAGTGGAAAGGTATGAAATTACTCCAAGGAAGTTGGCCTACCGATATTTCTGTCACGAAGCTTCCCATCAGCAGGCCTACTTTAAATTGACTGCTTACACACCAAGAGAAAAACTGCAAGAGATGAATAACGAGGTAGTTTAGTGACATAGCGCTTCGCAGAATACTCATAATCTTTATACGGTGCATCCTGTTGTGTTGTGTACATAAAATATTTATTGCTTCCGTCAACACAACAATTTTTAAGAGGCATTCAAATTATTGTTTATATTAAAGTCATAAATCTTAAAGGCATAACATGTTTCGACCCTTATTGGGTCATCGTCAGGTATCGATTAATGTTATGTTGCTGAACTTGTACGAAATATGGATCCATAACATTAGTTGTTTACAGAGGGTGTAAAAAATATATCTTATAATGCTCTGTGGTAGATAAATGGGTTCAATCTGATAATATTTTTTTGTAATACACCAATGTCCGGAAACCCTTCCTTTTAACAAAGGGTCACATAATTTTGCGTGAGGGTGCATAAGTTTTAAGAGCTGCTATCGTTGTTTTACATTATAAATGTTACTCAAAATGGTGGCCACCAACTTAATTGCATATTCTGCACCGCCTAACTTTGTTATGCTGAGCTCTGTGAAAGATCCTAGCATTTCCGAGTTGGTTCCAACTGCTACTGCAATTCTTGCCACAAGATCATGTTGTGTCTCCACTGGAGCCTCGTACACCAGGCTTTGCATGTACCCCCAGAGAAAGAAATCCAGTGGAGACAAGTCAGGGGAGCGAGGGGGCCAGGTTATTGGGCCTCTACGTCCAATCCATCTGTTGCCAAAGATCTCATGCAAATACTCACGGACGACATTAGTGCAGTGTGCTGGGGCGCCATCATGCTGCAACCACATTTCACAACGGACTTCTGAAGGCACCACTTCCAGCAGCTTGGATAAAGAGTCTTGGAGAAATGTTAGGTAAGTGTCACCAGGAAGCCGCAGAGGTAAGAGGTAAGGGCCCTTGCCTACACATTGACGGCGAAGTGGTGTTGGTGGCTTCGGATATGCTTTGCGTTAGGATTTGCTTGAGCCTATACATGGCAGTTTCTGGAATGAAAATGCCTTCCTTGGTAAAGGTACACTCATCAGAAAAGAAGATAGGGCGTAGGAAGTGATGTACCTGTGCAGTTTGTCCGAGCAGTCATCGACAAATGTTGACACGAGGAGCGAAGCCATTCGGTCCCATCTCCTGCACCTTCTGGAGGTGGTAAGGGTGAAGATGCCCATCGTGCAAGACTTGCCAGGAAGTGTACTAGTATCTGGATGCTCTTCAAAACGCTGGATTACAGATTCTTCAAAATCTGGGGTACGGCGCGGCACTTCCGAGGACGTCCACAGGGGCGTTTGTTAGGGCTCAAGCTGTCCGTTTCACACAAACGCCTTTCCACTCTTGGATACGTAGTGTAAGCTGGGTGACGCTTCCTTGGGAAACGCTGTTGATACAGCCTGCAAACCTCTCTCGCATTCCTTCTGGCTTCCCCATTTCGGCGTAGTCTGCATTTGTGTGCATGTCGGCCACAGTTAATTCACAATTTCCGATCGCCACACAAATGAGGAAGAAACTACTAAACGAGCTCTAGGCATGGTCAGGGACTGTATCACGTGTCATCTGATGCATTAGCATTGACAAGTAAATTACTCGTCCTATGAATGCGACGTCTTCTGCTACTTCGGAGTGCTATGGGTTGCTTGCCTACAGGCGTCCTTCTGCACATTTCGAAGGCCCTAGCGCGTAAACAAAGCGTTTCCGGACATGGGTGCAATAACAAACTGTGATCAGATTTAATCCACAGATTACCAGTGAGTGTTGTAGCATATATTTCTTTGCAGCCTGTATAGTGTACAGTATCACACACTCAGTATAAGTACTGCTTGGAAAGCAATTGGGCTGAGATTGGACAAATCATTATGAATCCAGTTAAAATTAGTTAAAATTTAAAATTAAAAACTACCAAATTAAAGTGACAATATACGTATATAGGTATATGTTGTTCCTCGGGCACGCTGGTCTTTCTAGTTTAGTTCTTCTTGGAGGATTATGTATCTTCTTATGAGAATGTTGTCTCTTGTGTGATCGGGTTGTGAGGTTGATGTTGTAGTGGTGTTGTTGGGACATTATCGTCTTAAGGCAGGAACTATTCTTGTTATCTTGAAGTTGGTTGTCTGGATATTGTCAGTATGTCGCTTATACTTACAGGTATCGATCGAATTACCTGTTACAGTCTATCTCTGAAGTGGGTTTTATGAATTACAGCTTACTTCTGTCTCATTCACTCCCATTCACGTAAAAACCAACGTTTCTCAACGGTTTCCACCTGTTGTAGTGTGTAGTACATTCCTAGGACCTATGTTCCTGGAGGTATGAGATTTGTTATTCCGGTTCTGCCACAGGAGGGAAAAGTTCTTTCGTCTGTTTGCAGAAAAATATCATGATTGTATAGTTAATATCGAATTGATATAGGTTTCGAAAGGCTCAAAATAAAGGAAGTCAGATGGAATACTGTTTCTAATTCTTGGAGAAGTAAATAAATTCTGTTCTTATGCCGGACAGTTTTCATTGTCTGAGGCATACTCGCGACGTTTCGGCAGCTGCTGCAACCAAACTTCCCCATCATGTGATCATCACTATCGCTTCGTATCGGTGATGTTCCATTTCAGACATGAGCCAGAAGATCGACTACTCTGACTGACGCCTTTCCTGGTTTTCGTCAGTTCGTCCATCCAAATACCGGGATTCTACTAATACCCGTATATGGCAAAAACTGATATTTTCGCATCTTTTCAGATACATCGTTCACTATTATCCTATTATTGGACTATGCAGAATGTGAACTATTGAAAGAGGCATTGAATAATACATAAGTAAACAGAATATACTCCTACATTGACCACTCTGTGGTCTAGTGGCCAGAGTTCCTGACTACAAATCCAGAGGTCCCGGGTTCTCTTCCCGGCGCTACCAGATTTTCTGAGAAGTATTAGGTCTGGAACGGGGTCCAGTCAGCCTCGTGAGGATAATTGAGGAATCCGTTGCGCTAACAACGTGACACCCTCTATCCGCAAAAGTTGACATTAATTTCGCCGAAAAGCAGCGGACGCTTGGTCGGTATAGTTCGTTTGCGGACTACAGACCACGGAGTTTGTATTTTTCTGTGTGTATACTCCTACATTCAGGTGACTGTCATTATAGTGACGGATTTTTATTAGGCTTCTTTATGGTTGAGCGTATTACTTTTGAAATGCCTGCCTGTACATTAAGTTGATCACATGTAACAAATCGAGAACCGCTAATTGAATTGCCATGAAATTTGATATTTTAGAGTTTTGTAATTTCTGTCGATAAATTATGATTTACGTTAAATATAGAGAACCGACAATGGTGGGCACTTTACACGAAGATTTGCATACGGGCCATGATGTTGGAACAGGCTTCAATGTTGAGCGTAAGTAGCGTGGCAAGCCGTACTGTGTAGCGCAGCCCTGTCCAACGCAGCGCCCGTGGCATATTTTTCTGGAGCCCTCCGTAACTACATATAATTGAGCCGATTTTTAATATTAATTCAAATTGTAAGACAAGAGACATTTTTGAACATCTGAGTACTGTTAAATATTTTCGAATTTTATTATTATTATTATTAGTAGTAGTAGTAGTAGTAGCAGTAGTAGAAGTACTAGTAGTAGTAGTGTGGTGACGCTCGCACCTCCATAGGCATCAGTGAATTGTGCCCGAGTACATAAGAACGTTGGACAGCACTGCTGTAGTGGCTGTATCAGCAGTGTGGGACGGCGCATGACGGATTGTAAGTAAGGCCCTGTTATAAATCATACACATCCCGCACCCCTCATCTCGGTTTCTGTTTCGGCAAAATCCACTGCATCCTCTGCTGAGAACTGCCAT